CAATCAACTCTTGCAAAAATGATCTCTCGTTGTATTGTATATAAAAGAAAAAAAGATAATTGCTGATTACAATGAGGGGGGAAGGGTCTCTTTATATAGGCTTAGAGGAGTCCTTGTAGTAACAAGACTAACTTATTAAATAAGAATAAAACAATAATAAAATACTATTCTAATCTATGTGATGTGGGCAGCATCAATATGGGCCCTTGATCTAGTTTTTGATCCAATGGTGGAGATCAAAACTAGTCATTTAAATGCATGACTTGATCCTCAGTCGTTGGATGTGATGAACGATTTAGATTGAGCTTCTGGAAGGTGGAGGCTTGGAGAATAAGATGGGGCTCTTACGTTTTGTTATTACAAGCAAATTACCCTTATAACCTTAACTTAAATTATTCCTAAGATGAAAATAAGGAAAATTCGTAATTACTTACAAAATCCCGTATAGGGATTTTTGCACGCGCTGTCTTCACTAAAATGTTCATATCTTGAGTCCCCATTATCATATTGATACGACTAAAGAACCATTGGAAAGATAAGAGACATCCAGTTGGATCTCCAAAAGACATCGACCAAATAACATCAGGATCCCATTCAAAAAGCAATCGCAAGTTTGTTGATATGTTGTTCTTCTTTTCCAAGGCTTGGTCGTGTAAGTCCATTGGAAGCTTTAGTTCATCTTCCTTTGACGTGAGCCTTGTGATGCATGTATCATTCTCCTTCTCTTCAAAAGGATTCAACCTCGAATCTAAAACATCAAAGGGAGAAACAATAGGATCTTTAAAAGATTCATTCACATTATATTTACCGAGTAGATATGCTTTGAATCTTTGAGACTTTGTTCTTCTAATAGGTTCGAGTATAAACATTAGTCCAAAGAAGAATGTGTTTCCATTGTTATAGACTCTAGTACATGTATCAAAAAATAATAACAAATTGACTCAACTTTACAACATAGTTTAATAATATACATACCCTTCAAAACGCTGAGACGTACTCTGATTTGCTCTAGGTCTGGACCTCGGACGCTCTAAGCTCATCAACTGCTCCACCTAATATGCGTAAGGAAACAAAATTTCAAACGCTGAGCTAACTAACTCAGTGCCACACTAACAACTAGATCATACTAAAAGTGTATCACCAGAAGGCTCAAGCTGTCAAGTCTACTACTTTGCTTTAGTGATTGTACTTGTATACTAACTCTCTACTCTATGGTAGACATCATGGTGTAGTTGAGGGTTCTACATCTCAGGGCTCATACACCCCTCTAGTCTATCGAAATAGGGCCCCCATAATCTCTGCATCGGACACCACACCCTCGACTAACTCATCCCTTGCGAGTGTCAAGCCTTGACCTTAGTTAGTCAGCTGAAAATGTCTCGTGCACTCCCTAAGGATATATCTAGACTAATTATATACTTTCGACACTAGTTGCTTTTCTAAAGGAACTTGGGTGTCCTGATCATTCCTCGAGCATTCAAACAAGGCTAGTCTTATTTCACCTTACTTTTTCTCGTTGCTATGTTTGAATTAAGCATTATTACTATTCTCACTTGTAGTCTTTTTTGGGAGAAATTATAAGTTTTTGGGAAACCTCACTTGACTCTATAATTACTCTTGATTTAAAGCCCAAAACTTAACCTTGGTATCGATACTGATATCCTCTCTTCAGTATCGATACCCTACTCAAGGTATCGATACCCCAGTGTTGAAATGCCTTGAAAGAAAAGGGAAAATATCGATATTCATTTGGGACCCAATATACCGAACTCTCGATTTTAAGCTTTCCTTAAGAACAATATCGATATTGCCTCTATATTTATTTTTTTCTTTTATTTTTTTATATCACATATTTTATTTTTTTTGATAATTTTATATTTATGACATGTTTTCCTTTGCCTCTATATATGACATGTTTTAGTTCGTTTAATCATTGTTTTCATTTCTTTTTTCTCATGCTTGAATTTCATATTGTCGCGATTAGTCAATATGACATTTATTAGTTATCATGTTAATATTTCATGCTTTTGACCCTTAGATTAGTATTGGATATGCAATCCGTATACGCGGAAAGTTTTCTAACATCGCTCGACTTTGATTTATGTTTATCGTTGATCTTTTCAATAGTTTGATTCCCTTTTATGATTTATTTATTGAAACATTCAGATATGTTAATTTGCATCAATATTTTGTTCAAAAAATTTTATTAAATTTTTTAATATTTTTCTTATATGGTACTTATGTGATTTAAAGTGACTAGTTTCCCGTGTTAATTATTATAGAAAATATTCTTATTATGTATTTAGGGTTTAGAGTTGTAATTGTATATTATAAATTTGAATATTCTCTATTTTTAATAAAAACAAGTTGCTTCTATAATTTTTTTTTCATAATGTCACCAACAAAAATGACACGTGACATTTTGATATTGTAACACAGTACAACGACGATATAGCAATAGCATATCATTTTAAAATTAAAATAAAAAACTTTAACCAACTTGTTAAAAAAATCAAATTATGTCACGAGTCTATGTACTATGCATAAGTTATTGATTTAATCTCATACTCTAATTATTTTCAATTTTTATGCTTTTTAAATTTTAAACTCTCAATTCTAAACCAAATAATATATGACCAATATGACTAAAATGGAGAGACTTAAAATAATCAAATAAAGAACGAAAATTAAATCTACAACTAATTCGTATTGTTTTAAAATTTTAAGAATTAAAGAGATTAAAAACAATCAAATTAAATACAAAAATTAAATTTACATTTACGTACAATATAAGAGTTAATATAAGAATTTAACCATAGAAATCCAATGGAGAAAATAAAAAAAAGGTTAAAGTATACAAATGGTCCCCGATTATAGATATTATTTTATTGAGTTTCCAACTATTAAAAATTATAAAATGGCCCCTCGATTGTAGGATGTTATTTTGTTGAGTCTTCCGACTATTAAAAGTTACGAAATAGACCTAACTTTTCATATGTTTTAAACTCATCATTTTCCATTAAAAAACAGAGGTCGTCTAAGTTGGACGTTAACCTGTCGAATTGAATATGGTAAAATATGATCCCAGAATCGTTTGAGTTGTAGTTTGTGAATCGACTTGAAACGTTATGTCTTCGAACCAGTGCTTGAAAACAATGATGATGTAGTAGACATCATTAAAATATGATTTTATCATATCACAATCAGTAGATTAATGTTAAGTTCAGAAGACGTCAATTTTTAACAGAAAAGTAAAAAATTTGGAACATATGAATAGTCACGTGATTATTTTGTAACTTTTAATAATCTAGGAACTCAACAAAATAATATCTTATGATCAATGGACCATCTTATCTATTAATAATCGAGATACTCAATAAAATAATGTACCATAGTATAAGGATCATCTATCTACTTTACCAAAGAAAGGCGAGTGGATTTTAAAATGTAATTGAAGAAAAGCAATAACAATTTTAGTTTTGGGGAAATAAGAGATAGTTGTCGAAATAAAGAACCCAACCGGTCCAAACAGATGAACACATACCACCTAATTTATCAGGACAGTCAACATTTTCCTGTCTAATCACGAATTTTATTATATTCGAAGTTAATCAAATTCGTAATAAATTATTTTCTCTACGTTTACTTTTCTTAAACAACTTGGTTTCTGAGGTCTGAATCGACTCTTTTTCAACAAAATCTTATTTGGTTTCTAGAATTCTGACTTTTACAAAGCTTACGGTTTCCAAAAGGAAAATTTTAAACAGAGGCTAAATTTTGTAGAGAGTGCTTATGCAATGCGTTTTTATTCAATCTAACCCCCTTTCCTGTATCTCGATCAATTATAATACTCTATTTTTCGAAATATTAAGAGGTTTGATCCATTAATAATTTGTTTTTTTTAAGAGTTTTATATATATGGGCTGCTTAAGATTTTGACATATAAATATTTGGCTTAACTGACTATTTCTACAACGAAAATTCGTGTTTAATAATTATTTGTTATAGCTTTGGAGTAAATTTGTTGGAGGAAGATGACACTCTGTCAGTATAGTCATTCAAAATATAAATCAAATAAAATCTTTAAAAACATTAAAAATGTTAGACTATCCCAAAAATTATTTTAATTAAATGATCACTCAGAGTTTCCAGACGCCAACATCTGATATGATTTTGATAATTAAATCTGATGGTTGATAATCGTATTTGTATAAACTAACAGTATACTGACAATTATAATAATCTTAGGTCTGTCATCGGTCACCCTATAATTGGGACATTTGTATACCGAACAAGACAAACTAAAGATCTTCTTTCCCAAGTCCCAAGTCTATAATCTTCCACAAAAAGTTTTCCTCCTAGCTCCTTGATAGAAAATCATCGATTGACAGTTATTCTCTTACCGGCTATGATTCTTCATTCAAATCAAAAGGGTGAACTGCTCACAGTCGAGACTATTATCTCTCGAGGTTCTGGGTTTGAGCACAAACAACTGCATAGAGTATTTGGGCGTTCATAAATCTTTTTTAAGGTTGAGTAGTTTACATTATTTATTTATTTATTTTCATTTGATTAGCCTCAGAGTCGGTGATTAAAGATAGTATTTTTCTTTCTTGAAGTTATGGGTTCGAGTAGATGTGTCTTTAAGGTGTGCGTTTATTGGCAATAACTGTAAAATTATGATCATATATTACCTCTTAATCACTCTATATTATTTATAAGAAAATCATAAGGACCAATCTACAATTGGGTGTAGTTTAAGGTCCAATTTAGTAATAAAACTTGTTAAAAACCAGCTGTGTGTTATCCAGTTGCCCAAGGAAAGAAAGTTTAGACGTTTTAAGAACGTGGAAAAACGTGATTAATGGTTAGTGGTTTCACGTCTGTTTCCACCAATTACAAGACGCAGAGAAAATCTTGTTTTCTCATCTCTCTCTATAAGAACACAAACGTTCAGACATCCAATTACAAACAAAAAAGAAGGTAAAATATCAGACGAGAATAGAAGAGAAATGGCTACTTTGGGTGGAATTAGCCAGGCTGAAGCAAGCGCCAACAGCCTGGAGATTCAGAACCTAGCTCGTTTTGCCGTCGATGAACACAACAAGAAAGAGGTATTTTGTTTTCTCAATTTACATGTGAATTCTGTACAAATATTTGTCAACTAATGAGGGGCTTTGAAATTTCAGAACGCGATGCTGCAGTTTAAGAAAGTGACCGAGGTGAAGCAGCAGGTGGTTTCCGGGACAATGTATTACATAACATTGGAGGCGATGGATGGTGACAAAATGAAAGTTTATGAAGCCAAGGTGTGGGAGAAACTATGGTTGAATTTCAAGGAGTTGCTGGATTTCAAGCTTATCGGTGATGCCACCGCCTCCGACTCCGCTTGAGGTAGCTGTTCCCGGAGATTGGATGAAGATACCGAAGGGCGAAGGCAGGTTTCGCCGTTAAATAAATGTAACAATGCCTTAAGTTCATATGGATTTAAAGTATTAAACTTATAAGCTTACCTAGAATAGTGATTAGTGTAAATTGATGCAATCTGCAAAGTACATAATTTTACCTATCTTCCTTTTATCATATTTCTTATGTAATGTCTAAACATAAATTAAATTTAGTTATTATGAACCATTGTTACTTATTTTAAAAACATTTTGTTTAAATTAAATATTTATATAAAAATATTACCTTTTAGCACTTATTCTCTTAAAAATTCAATATTTCAAAACGATGTAATACATACATAACATTTTTTATACATTTAGGATAAATACAAAGAAATATAGGTTCAAATGCTTAAACCAGGCGTTATGCAGAAAATAAAAGGGGTTTTGGTAAAAATAATTAAATAATAAAAAGCAATTTAAAGTAAAAATAAAGAAAATAAAAAATGTAACGTTGAAAATGAATATAGTAAAAAATAGCCTCAAACCTTGCTTTGACTCAATTTCCTTCGGATCATCGAATTAGATTTTTCCTTCGGGATTCACGTCAGTTACTTTGTCTACAAGGGCAATCCTCGTGACTCTATTTGTATACAGAATACCCAAGGCAATCTTTGATTCCGGCTTCGAAAATTGATTTGATCAACATTAATTGTCGTAGATCAATAACCGTTTAAGTTCTTGAAGATCGACTCGGATTGTTGTTTCAATAACTACCAATTCCGATCTCAATTCTCTCTTGGCACGACAATCTCGCCAAGTGTGTTCCCATGAAGTCGAATGTGCTTTCAAGCCAATCATTCCTCCCACACATTAATCGCAACAACATCTTGACCAAAGTCAATCTTTGATTTTAAAAATAAGCGCAGAGATTGAGAAAGATATTCTGAAGTTATTAAGGTGTTTTTCAATTATCACGTTGGAATTGAGTCATCGTTTCAGCTCTCGGCTTATGAAAAAATTAGCTAAGCATGAGTCATGCTTAGCGTGCTTAAAAATAAAACTTAAAATGAAAATGAAAAGAAAAACTTGAAAAGAAAAGAAAAGAAATAACTTTATAAAACTAGAAGGAAGAAGAAGAGTAAATTCTGAGTTGTGTTTAGGATTTTACCCCAAGAGGGTATTTATAGCCTCTAAAATCCTAGAGATAAACATATAAATTAAAAGAAAATAATCCTAAAGATAATTCCAAATGTTTTCTAAATGAGAAAAGGAGTTTCTAACCTTGGATTTGTTAGAAAAGAGTCTTAAATCTATGTACTTAAAATAAACTTCTAAACCAATTTTATTGCTGCCAATCAGCATATTTAAATAGAGGTTAAACAGGTTTTTTTTTTGTTTGAATAAAAGGCTTAAACTAAGGAAATTAGAATTAAGGATTCTAAAAAAAGATTCCAAATGACATAAATATACTTTTAAATAAAGTTCTCCTAATACCATGACAATACATGCAAAAGTAAGCTAATAATATTTTTCTTTCTAAAAATAACATTGCCTACAAAGGCAACCCGAAATATTTTCCCTTGCCTTCTGATTGTAATGGAATTCATTTGAATTCTTTTTGAGAGGAAAAAAAGAACTTAGTTATTAAAATAGAAATGATACTAGAAGAAACCCAAATAGTTGTTAGTTTGCCTATTGTGCCTATGTAGTATAGGGCACATATTATTTGATCAATGAGCAGGGGATATAGGAACAGTTTCTGTCGCATGAAGTTTGCTTTGCCCGTCATGTGATGTTCTGTTCTTTAAATTGTTTGATTCTGCCACATTAGATGGTAGTAGTCCATTTAGGTTCCCACTTTTGAATGCATTTTTAAAATTACGTACAGCTTTGACCTTGTGTGCAAACAAAAATCTAGACACAACTTTTGTATTTCCTTGAAAGTTAGTTGTTCAAAGTGGTGGAACAAAGGCCACAAGATTCAGGTTTGAAGCTTTTCTTTGCATGCAGAGCAAATGATTCTAGTCTCTGCTAATCTTTCTTATTAAATTTACCGAATATTGCCAAAAACCTCTCCTAACATTTACCCAATAATCACTTTTGGTCCTATTCTTTTTTTTTTTTGGAGCACTTTAATTCCTGACATTTTATTTTAGGGTAAAATGACCTCTCCGTGAGTGAAAACCGTTAGTCAATAAACGATCAATGCTTGGAGATGACAAGACGAGTACAGCTGGAACAAATTAAAAAAAATTAACTATAAATATGTTTTATATTAAATTGATGACAACCAATAATTGTCATCTTCTGATTGCTTTTATTGAAAACACACTTTGGTCCCTATTCTTTTCTTGGAGTACTTTAATCTACAAGACCCCAACATATACCCTAGCAGAAGCCCAAAGAAAAACCCAATACTACATAATTTAGGATTTCAAAAATTTGATCACAGTTATATGGTTCTGATTCTTCTGAACAAGCCATTCATAAAATCCATAAAAGAAACACTAACCAAATAGATACCCACAAGCCCAAACTTATTAAGAAACCCAACATTGTTTGAAATAAACACTAACCTTCCAGAAACTTATCTTCCTTCGATAATTAAATAGATTTTATGTTTTTCCTATATCAGTTCAAAATGATCTTTTGCATAAAATCGATTTATGGTTTTGTAATGGTCTTCTCTTTTTTATTTAGGCTTCTTGTTTGAGTTGTTTCTTGATTCAAAGAATTGGAAGTTTTAGGGTTCTTTGAAAACTAGTGGGAAATCGTGAATTTGAATAGATGTTGTTAATCACCTAGAATTAAACTATTTTTTCTAAAATGAAAACCGAATTTAATTGAATTGAGTTTTAAATTGCTTAAGAAAAGGAATCAAGTTGAATTGAAAATTTAATTAATTACATTGAAAGAGGACCAAATCAAATTGTTTAGGATAATTATTGAATTGAATTAAAACTTGGATTAATTGAATTAAACGAATTTACCTAGGGATCGAATTGAATTAAAACTTAATTAAGAAGTTTAAACAATTGATTTGATCAAATTAAAGTAACCTAATTTCAATTAAATAAAAAACATTAGAACTGAATATAATTAAGGACCTAATTGAAAGGAGTGAAAGAGTAATGACTGAATTATGGTGATCAAGTAGGAGTTAGATACAAATGTTATAATTGCATGCTAAATTTCTAGATTCCTACAATTGCCCTTGAATAGTTGATATCTTAAGCATTAAGGGAGGCTAATTAGGACATTTCTGTCTTAATTAAAGATGAAGTAATACCACCTTCATCAAATTCATTTGGTAACCGGCCAAAGAAGAAAAAAAATAGAGAAAATTTGGAGAAAGAAAAATTGAGAGAAAGCAAAGAGGAGTTTCGGTCATACATGTTCAATTGAAAGCTTAATTTCAAGCTTGGATTAGCTAGGAAAAAACTAATCTAGTATCCATGTAAGCTTCTTCTCTTCTAAATTTGCTTAAGATCAATTTGAATGATTCTCAAATTTTGTTTAGGATAGATTTATTTATTATTAATAGTGTATGGTATTAAATTTTAACATAGATCATGATGGAATGAACATGCATGACCAAAAATTTATAGGATTTAATTTTTTTAGAATGATTTGGTTTAAAGGGTGATAACCGAAAAGCTTAAGGTTTGCATGTGACTAAGTCACAAAGATCTGAATGTCGTTGACTAAACTGGAAAATTTTGTGTAGGATGGTTTTGATGGAAATTGATATTTGTTAAAGATTTGAAGCTTCAAATAATAAGAAATGCTGTAAAATTATGAAAATTGACCTTAAAATTTAAATTAGTCACCATTGTTGTTGGAAAATAAATTAGGGACTGTTTTGAACAAATTGAAACATTTGGGGCTTAATTAGACAAGAAGCAATACTGGTAATACTAGTTTGAAATAGGACTGGAACTGAACTTAATAAATAACAACATGTTAAGGGTCGATTAGAATTTCAGTTGGTGTGGTTAAGAGATTGAATTCCATTATGGCTGCCTTCCTTTGGGGGGTTCATTAGAGAAAAGGAATATTCATTGGCTGAATTGGAAGTTAGTATGCAAGCCGAAGAGGTTGGGGGGATTGGGAATTCCTAATTTGGTTCTTCTAAATAGAGCTCTTTTGTGTAAATGGGTATGGAAATTTGCTACAGAGAAGGATTCATGGTGGAAAAATATGGTTTGTTGTGTGTATAATATTGACTTTAATTTGTGTTTAACTGTGAATTCTTTGTCTACTCGGGCATCTTGGATTTGGAAAGGAATAATAAATAATTTCTTTTCTTCTGATGATTTTGGGGACTGTCTGAGGAAATATTGTGTTTGAAGATGGGGAATGGAGAGACAGTGCAATTTTTGCATGATTCTTGGTTGGGTTCGATTCCTTTAAAAGTTAGGTTCCCTAGGATATTTGCTCTATCAATGAATAAAAGGAGTAAATTTGCAGAGTTTAGGGAAATTTCTTCTTCAATGTGCTACTGGATATAAAATTAAGAAGGAATTTGGTGGACTGGGAGGTGGAACAGTGGTTGCAGCTTATGTCCTTGTTGAATACTACCTCTCTATCATCATTGCAAGAAGACTACTGGGTATGGACATGGAATGGGGAGGGTTGTTTTTCAGCTAAATCTTATGTTAAGTGCTATTTTGATTAGGCTGGTAATGATGAAGATGAAGGTTATTGGGATAACATTGTATGGGTAGGGGTTGCTCCTCCACGGGTCGAAACTTTTGTTTGGCAGGCTACTCATCAAAGAGTGGCAGTTAGAGAGGAATTGATAAAGCAAGGAGTAATAGGGATTGACACTTCTTGTTCATTGTGTGGTAAGTGTGTGGAGTCGATTTCTCATCTATTTGTACATTGTGAGGTTGTTAGGGGCTTGTGGATGAGATTCTTGTCATCTTGGAATGTATCTTTTGTGGCTCATCAGACATTGTTGGATTTCATAATTGTTTGGAATAATTTAGTCCCAAACTCCACCATTTGGAAGTTCATCCCTAGGGCGGTGCTTTGGTCAGTTTGGAAGTGTAGAAATAATATTATTTTTGGGAAAGAAAAGGTAGATGACCAGTTATTGTTCTTCATTGTTCGTTTTAGAATTGCATCATGGTTTGTCGCGAGATTCAGAGATGTGCAGATTCATTTCGATTCTCTTGTGGGTGATGTTAAAATAGTTGATTTGGGGGTAAGTAGGAAGAAGAGTTATATTTCTT